ATGTAAACGACTGATTTCCCATTCTCTGTGACTGGCTGAGCTGGTCCTGCCTTTGCCATCTATTTTGTATCTGACAAAGCAAACTGCTGCTGTTTGAGCCACATAATACTCAAAGAAGGTATTTGTAACTTAGTCTTTTCTTAAATAGATGACTACTTCAAGTAAAGAACCTTCAGCATCTTGATACTACCTTTTAAACTCACCCCAATGTCAATATTGAGGGTAAGGAAAATGAAATAGATGTTTCCTCTCAGAAGTTAACTAAGCCTTGATGTACTACCAAACATATAATAAGACATTCCAATTTATTGATATAACCAAGAAAAATCTTTTGAGAATGTAAATAATTCTTTCAGTTACAAGGAATTTTGACCTTCACATTCATCATCCCACTGTCATCTATTTCCTTTATTGGGGGAAAGATTATCAGTTTTCTAGCACTCTCCTAGAACAAGAATGCACATCTTTCACAGACAGCATGTAGGAATCTACATATGTGGAAAAGAACAGAGTTGGCCAAGCTCAGATGGTCCCAAAGCATCAAGATCACAACCTAATAAGCAGAGCATGACCCCAAACATGAGAATTCCACAGGAACAAAATGGAAAGAATCAAAGGGGAGGTGGTAGGTAGGAGTTGCCTGATCTAGGGAAATACTAGATAATACAAGAATATATTTGGGTATTTTATAAATGTCTTGGAAGCTAAGTGAAAATAAGGAGGCACAAATTAAGAGGCTGTTCTATAGCAATTTCCTCTAAATCAAAACATTTTCTCCTGTAGAAAGGAGCAAGAAAGTAAACCAATTCTTAACTTTCACAAAGCTGGTGGTGCACCCCTTTAATCCCAGCACTCAGAGGCAGTTCAAGGCCAGCCTGGTATACATAGTGCTTTCCAGGCCAGCTGGGGCTACAGGGAGACCCTTTCTCAAAAGACAAAAAAAAAAAAAAAAAAAAAAAAAAAAAAAAACCAAAAACCAGAAAGCGGAAACATACAAGGTTCATAAGACCCCTGTCCAAAGTCCTAGTAGCCAATTCTTGAATAGAGGAGGTTCTCTACTGCCAAACCTGGAATTAACACAGGAAGCTCCAGGGATACATGTTCGTCCATCAGTCATCACCCAGGCTGGGGTGGTTTGTGGGGATGAAGTTACCTTTGAGTCATCCATGCTTCTGTAAGTGGCCTTTCACCCACATTCCTATAAGGAACTTCAATAAATTCATTGGCTCACCACGATGGACTTTCCTGGAATTGTCTTGGTGGTTTGTTTTGGTTCCCTCTCTAGAGTAAATAGATATTTGCTGGGATACCTCCAAGAAAAGTCAAATGCAACATAGAAGACCTAAAAAGAGTTACTTCTGACACTCAATGATATAGTTAGAGCTGCTGACAGGAAGTTTTTGGCTACTAGTAATGAAGAGTATTTTACTTTGTTTTTTTTTTGGGGTCCAGGAAGTTGAAATCAAGGCCTGTCACATGGTAGGAAAGCACTCTACCACTGAACTCCATTCCCAGCTTGAAGAGGGTTTTTTAATAAAGACAAAAATCAATGGTTATTATCAGAATCACCCCTAGGAATTAAAGAAGGGCCAATGCTCAAAAAGCAAGAGAGGAAAATCTATTTGCAATGAGTAGCAGTGTGGGTACACAAGCCTTAGTGAACAAAAATGTTTCAAATTAATCGAACAAAACAATGGCATTTACTACACATAGCCTTAGGTCTTGCCACAGAACTGGAATTGTTGCCCTTACTCTACACATCCTGAAACCCTAGGAGGAACATGAAAAGGCCAGTTGACCGGAAGTCAAAAGGCAAGAAATACAGTTCTGGTAAGTATTCAAGAGAAGATCGTAGGATGATATATATGTACTTACATTTGTGAAAATGGTTGTCTAAACAAGAATACTACTTTTGAAAATTCTCTATGGGATTGGGCTGAGCCAAAATATGCTCAAAAGAAGGAAAGGAAGGAAATAGTACACCAAAAAACACCCTAATAAAAAACAGGGCAAAAAACAGATTATATGTTTCTCACCAAGTTAGGAAAGAACAAACAGCACAAGCAGAAAACAAGACATCACAAGCGAAAACAGAACGAACGATCGTATTACTCTAACTCTTCAGAGCTAGGAGCCATTGACATCTGCAAACATCTTACAAAAGACATGTTAGAAGTCCCTAAGAAACCACAAAATAAAAGTTATTCCTTCAAATTACCAGGTACACAAAAGCCTTTGACATCTCTAGGAGGCAACTGAGATATGGACTGCCTTTTGAGAAAATAGGACTTTAGTCGGCTCTTCCATGCTAAAAGCGACTGTCAAGTTTAGGTTCTAATTTACATGAAAATATTTTTTCCCCAAAATAAAAATAGAAGGAAAAGCATGCTTTATCTAGTGGGTGGATAATATACAAACCAATATGTGCTGTAATCACTGTTCCTCCTGAGAAATGACACTGTGTGTAGGCCCTGCAATGACTCACATTAGAAACGGAAGACATAACTTCAGTCATCTGTCCAATCCTCAAGTAAGAGGCCCAACACCCACAACTCAATATGTGAAGACACCTCTAGCCTTTTGACAGGAAGGTATTTTAGGCCAATTACCGAAATAGGGGGAGTGTGGTCAAAGATCTTACAAAAAACAAAAAACAAAAGGGACCAGGAGCCAGCTCTTTGCTTTTAGGCCTATCCCTAAAATCTATAGCCATAAAACCTTGAAACTGTGCAGTATTTCATAAACAAGGTTCAATAGACACTTACGGGGGCGGGGTGGGGGGCTAAAACAAAAGGTGAGCAAGTGTGCTCTAGTAAGATTAAAAGAATATTTTGTTATTTTTTTACTTTGTCTATTGCCTGCATGTATGTAAGTGTGCCCATCATGCAATGCATACAGAAGACAGAAGGAGATGGGAGTTCCCTGGAAATGGAGTTAAAGACAGTTAGCTGCCACGTAGATGCTGTGAATCAAACTAGGGTCCTCTACAAGAGCAACCAGGGCACTTAACTTCCAAGTCATCTCTCCAGCCCCCTTTAGTAAGATTTTCAGGTGTTTTATTAAGGAAACAGGTCCAAATCACAGACTGTCATCAGGTGGTAAGAAAACACAGGAAGGAGCAGCAGAGGGACTGGGGAGAGGGGGTGGAGCAATGTTCATTTTCTTAGTGATTCAAGGGAGGTAAGAGATGCTGGTCATCTGAAGATAATCAAAGCGAACAGACAATACAAACCAGGAGCATACCTGGTATCCCAGAGACAAAGCAAAGACACTCTGGAGCAGAAGGCAAGAAGGAAGGGGAAGAAAAGCAGCTTCATTTCCCAACTATATTTATACCTCCTGCTCAAAACATTTCTTAAAGGGATGTGATTTAACATTTGAAAGAATCACTCATCTTTATGTTGAGGACAGACATTGTAACAAGGAAAAGGAGGAAGACACGAGACAAATTAGGGGATTATTTTGGCAATCCAAGTAGGCCATGAAGGTAAATTATAAAACGGTGGTAGTAGGAAGGGAGGTAAGATGTGGTCAGAGCAAGTAAGTACTAGATAGAATGTGAGATGTTAAAGAAAGGCAGTACTCAAGGATGACTCCAAGAATGGCTTTTTGATCAGAGGAACAGATGGGATCGGGTCATCAAATTAGATGGGAAAACCAGACAGTGTCGACAAGAGGGAGGGGAATCTGAAACAAGATCTGAACCATTCAACAGTATGGGAGCTGTAGAATGTATAGCGATAACTGGATCCTCAGTCACCCTAACATTAAGAGGCAATAAATCTGTACGAGACGGAAGAAGTAGCCAGTGAGCAGGGCATGAGGAAACTACCAGTGTGCCGTGTCTCTGTAGGCAAGAAAAGTGACTGAGAAGAAAGAATAATCAATTGTGTCAAATATTGCAAAGGAAGCTAAGTGAGGTGGGGACAAGATTAGCATTTTACATCTATCTAAGAGGGAGTCAATAGTTCATAAGGATAGGTCTGGTGGAGCAGTAGGGATAAAAGCCAAGTTGAAACTAGGAATGAGTGGGTACACAGGAGAATGGGAAGAAAAAAATGAAAAGAAAGCCAACATACAACTCCTTTGAAAGCTGTGCTGAAAAGCAGACAGAAAGTAGGTGGTAGCAGGCAGAGGAAGACTAAGTGAAGAAGAGTTTTTTGGTTTTGATTTCAGATAAGTGAAATGACAGGCACTGGTGTAGCAAGGAGCCAAAAGGCCTGTAGAAGTACCAAAGCACTGCCCTTTAATACCAACAGGAGCAAATGGAAGTTTCAGTGAGGTGGAGCTGGGGAAGTCATTTCTGATTGTGTTAATTCACTCAGTAAGCAACTCAAGACAAATCAATCAAAAAAACAAAAGAAACAAACAAACAGATGGAAAAGTGGGCAAAAATTCATATACAGATACTTCACTCAAGAACTTAGAATAAACAGTAAGTTTATGAAAAAAGTATAACTTCAATAATCGGAAAAAAAAAACAATAACCACATTACATCCATCATCATACTGGCAAAAATTCTATAAAGGTAAGAATGTGAGGAAATGGGAGTGCCCTTTAAATACTGACAGGGATACAAAATGGCACTCTGGCTTCTTTTTGTGTTGCTAGCACTCCCACAAACATGGTAAACGTTCCCAAAACCCGCCGAACTTTCTGCAAGAAATGTGGCAAACACCAGCCCCACAAAGTGACAAGTACAAAAAGGGCAAGGATTCCCTGTAAGCCCAGGGAATGCAACATTATGACAGAAAACAGAGTGGCTACGGTGGGCAGACGAGGCCTATTTTCTGCAAAAAAGCTAAAACTACAAAGAAGATTGTGTTGAGGCTTGAGTGTGTGGAGCCCAACTACAGATCTCAGAGAATGCTGGCTATTAAGAAGTGCAAGCATTTTGAACTGGGAGGAGACAAGAAGAGAATGGGCCAAGTGATCCAGTTCTAAGCCAATTTTGTAATGAAGACAATAAAATCATGAGTTACTTAAAAAAAAAAAAAATGGCACTCTGACATGTTTGGTTAACATGCCCCTCTATTTAGGGAATGATACGTAGAGGTTAAGTATAGACCCTAGAAAATCCTCATATGCAGAACACAAGTGTAACGGTGTCCACATTAACCCTGTGTATAGCATAGTCATACAATGGAATACAGTGCAGTTAAGCTGAATTATAGCAACACAAGGAATAAATTTGAAAATAATACTAAGTAGGAAAAGGAAGCTGCAGAATGATACAGTAACTATATATACAGAATAAACAGACATAAATGTTATTGTGCTATTCGCAGACCTATGCCAGCAGCCAAGGTATAGAAGTATACACAGATATCAAATATGGCTAATGGTTACTGCTGTAGGATGGAGGAAGGGAAAGGGAGACGGGGCCAAGAAAGACTGAAGGATGAATATTCAAGGACTTTCATATGTGACTGTAATATACAATATTAAGAAGCAAATATGCATAATGTCAAGGGTGAAAAGGGAACCCAGATGTCTATTATTGGCAAACTCAGCTGATCACCTTTAGCTATTCCACACCATGTCTCATACTTTTATTCCTCTTTGTAGCAGACTAACTGGCCATTATTCTCCTCACACACACAAAACAATGACAACAACAACAAAAAAAAAAAACAAAAACAAAAAAAAAAACCCAACACTGAATTTTTCTTTTTCCTCCTAGCAAAACAAGAAAAAGAAGATGCTCCATCATGGATGTAGCTTCCCATGGTGCAGAGGGAATAATTTTACTACAAAATGTGCTGTGAAATAAACAGGGTCAACAAGAAGTTTGACTTTTGTTTTAAAAAGCAACAAACTATAATATATTAATTAATGTAACCAAGCAGAATTATACTCCATGATGTTCTTAAAACTGTTGAATTAAAATAAGAACAGACATGATCAGACTTAAATGAATAAAATTTCAAACAGTAAATAATGGACCAATCCCAATAGCTATGTCTCATGTGGCATTTTAATAAACAAAGGCTGCAATTTCCATTTGAATTAGAAACTTAAAATAGGAGCTGTATCACATACCCTAGGCATATTTACAATCAAGGACCTTTCAATTCCCTTGGCAGCCAGAAGACAGAGCCCACGAGGATATCTACTGGTTTATGGTCCTTAACACATAGAATAGCACATTTCTATAAAAGGCTCCTAACCACAAAGCTGCAGAGCAATAGTGGGGGCAGGCTAAAACCTATAGCCACGTTGACCAAATGGAAGATAACTTGTACATCCCTAGTATTAGTATGTGTGCCTAAAGGAGTGGGCACAGGTGTGCTGCATACCAAATACCTCCTGGGGAGTTTTTGCAAAAAAAAAAAAAAAATGCAATCTATTTCTAATTAGCTCTATGGATTCCTCACCAAAAAAAAAAAAAAAAAAATCTCTTATAAGTAGCAGTCCATTAAAGAGACAGATGTGGTTACACACTAAATTTATAATCCAATATATTTCATACACATCCCAAAAAACAAAGAGGAAAGAATGAAATCTACTTAAAAAACAAAGATATGAAGGGCAGATTACATAATTTGACTAGCTCCTTAAATACCTCATTGCTTCTGGAAGGCCCTCACACTCTCCATTTTTCTAGCAACCCTATTTTATCTTATTGATCCCATGTTAAAATTCCGTGATGGCTAATCCTGGGTGTCAATCTGACTGGATGTGGAATTAACTGAAATGAGAGACACTTTCTTGATTGGATCATTTGAAGCTGGAAGACCCACCCACCTTCTGATGGCAGCCATATAAAAGGCGATGGCAGAAGGGAGCTTTTGCTTTTTGCCTGCTTGTCTTCTCTCTCACTGGTGAGTTCTTGCTGTTGTGGCATTCCTTTCCTGATAGCAGAACCAACTTCTTCGAATTTCAATGTAGACTGAAGACTAGCAGACCTCCAGGAATCCTTCAGGCCTTCATTGGGACTGCTTAGACATCTAGCCTCATGGACTGAGCAACTACCAGATTCTCAGCCTCTCCAGTGTGGTGCAGCCACTTTTGGACTACTTGGACTCTATCCTGTAAGCTAATCTTATACAAGAACTGTAAGGATTATGTAACATGTACAGGGCTAGATTTTAAGGCATGATAATAGCTACTGGTCCTACCTAATAAGGATCATGGTCTCCATTTTACTGCAAGGAAAGTGGGACCCAAAGTAATTTACCTGAGATTACATAACTAGAAAGGGAGAGCTGGGATTCTGACCCTTCCTATCCCAGAAGCTCATCGCTGGTAGTCAGAAACTTCACTCTTTTGAATTGTTATAGCAAAAAGGGAATCACCACCTTTTAAGAATCAGCTGCAGAAAGTCTGATTCAGTAGAATCTGAAGTGATTTCCCACAGATCTACATTTTTAAGTAAGTAGCCTGGTCTATAGGGTGGACTTGAAATGCTGGGGAGGAGAAGGGAAAGAAAGTAAGGGGGGAAGAGGAGAGGGAGAGAGGGACAGAGGGAGGGGTAGAGAAAGAGAAAGAATATGCGCAGACTTGGCCCTACTTTAGTCAATGTCAATTCACAATAAAAGAGGCAAAAGATTTAGAAAGGGCAAGACTCACACTGTGAGTAAAAAGGCAAAGGAAGTGGTAATTCCATGACACAGTCCCAGTTACAAATGTCTCCTGGCAAGCTGCCAGCAGAACAGTTTCTCAGAATCAAGAGAATAAGGCCGATGCAGGCAGCAGCATGTCCTTGAAGGGACTGACCTGTTATCTCCAGTGCACAGCGTATGATTATATTCCACAAAAACTTGCACATCCCAAAATTAAAGGACCATTTTCAAGACTATCATGTAAGAAAAAAAAAAAAATCTCCCTCTGGAGACTGCTCTTCTTCTCAATTACATAAGCCAACTAAGTGCCTTTTCAGAAGTGCTTGCTATTTATTGCTCAGATGCAGTGAGAAGAGAGGGAAGAGAACAGAGAGAAGAAAGGAGCTGGGAAGAAATAACAGGAGCCAAACACCAGCTCTTTTCCCCTCAAGATCCGTCAAGACTTTTAGAATAAATAGCTTGATGTCTCTAAGGGCCCCCAAACCACTATTCAAGTACCAGACCATATGTAGTCCCTTCACTTAGCTGTAAAGATGAGGAGAAAGAGTGGAATAAAAGAATACTACACCTCACAGACCCAAATGCCAAACAAAGACGCCAAGACTTTCAAGTTAAGAAACAGCAGCCGACAGAAAAGAAAGGTGGCTTCCAGAACCACTGAAGAAAACCTAAAATGAAGAAGGCCCCGGAACCTGCCCAATCTGTCCTTTCTACACAGGTGTGGCTTCCCACACATAACTGGGCAAAAACCTTTTTCCCACCCACAAACTCCTCTGAAAATAAAATTCTCCTCCCAGGGAGAACTGAGAGCCTCCTTTCTTAGAGGACTGGTAAGGATCCATGCAGGGAAAAGTCAGGGAGAATGAGACAGAAAGGTACTGGATCCTGGAAGAGAACAAAGCTCAAGGTCAGTACCCCAGACCTTAAGGATGAAAAGCTGTCTTCACCTGAAGCAAACATTCCTCAAACATCTCTTGAGATCAGGTGGCGAGCTTACTGCCAATTGACCAAACAGAAGCACGGCTTTCTACCTGATGACTGGCCATAGTTTCTTCTTGAGATTCACCTAAATAAACATGTGGCACTGTAGATGGGTTTGCAGTGAAAACCAAGCAAGAGGTACATGTTTTAGTCCAAATTAAGGCAACTCTAAGTTCATACTCAAGGGGCAGGTTGGAAAAATATAAATTCCATGGGAAAATCCAAATCTATATTTTGTGTTACTAAGAAGCAAAGCTACTTAACTGAATTTTTACAACATCTAAGGATGTTAATGAGAAAGCTAAAATGTCAAGAGACAGAGGAAGAGATAAGACAAAGCTACAGCACTAATCACTTTCTACCTCATTTTACTATAATTTAATTACTCCATGCAGGTCTTATCCTCTCAACCATACCTCACCAGGGAAGGGCAGTGTGAGAGAAAAAAGATCTCTATGGCTCCCAGAAAGTGCCAGCATGGTAGCACACTGACAAAAAGTGACAACAGTAAATACTACAAAAAGAAAATGGAGACTATTTCTGACAACTAGAAATGTACAGATTGTGATTATAGGAATATATGAAAACTAGCCAATAAATCTCCTAGTGAATTAAAAAGGAGAGAGCGATCTATTACTTATGATCTTTGAAAAAACACAATTGATCATTAACTAATGGTTGTAGAAAATCAGAAATCTTTACAGAATATACATAATATCATTCTGAGTTCAAATAAGGATGAACTGCTATACTAAAATTTTCTCAGTTATGACATTTCAACACTAAATATATTAAGCTATGATTTTAAAAAGATGAATTAGGTGGGGGGAACCAGTTTTATCCTAAAACCTTACAAATTTGAAATTTAGTCTAAGCAAGAGCATAAAAAGAGAACTGGGGCTAAACTCAGTGGCAGTGTTTGCCTAGTATGCTTGAAGCCCGGGGTTAATTCCTAGTCCCACATAAGACAGAAAGTGAAAATAGTCGAGTTATATAGCTGAGTGGTAGAGCATGTACGTAGCATGTACCAGGATCTGGGTGTGACCCCCCTGCAACACTACTAAAGAAAGAAATAAATATAAAAGGAGAAAAGGAAAGGGTAGTGAAAGATTGCAGAGCCCTTCCTGGAAAGATTAATAGGCAGTGATACCAATAGGCATAAAGCTTGCTAAATGAAAGGAGCTCCTCATCTGCTGCTCAAATGAACAGATAGAACAGAGGGGAAATGAAAAACTACTTGGCATTTCTGCAAAGAATCTTTCTACCTAGCTAAGAGGTCTACAGACCAACTAGAAACATAAGTCAATATTAAAGTGGAAATTCCTTCATTGGAAATGACATTGAAAGTCTAGAAATAAGAAATCAGATTCTAGGCCAATGTGGTGGCATGCACCTTTA